CTGAAATGCGTCAATTTGATTTTTAATTTGGTTCAGTCAGTAATTTTGATTACCGCTAGATGCAATTCCCTCCGTGAGCTTTACTGTTACTCGTATCGCTGGTTATGATAAGACTGACTACAAGCAACTTAGGGTCAATCTTCGAGACAAATTGGCTTCCGCTACTACTTGCGATGGAGTGCCAGTGTTACACTCCATAGCTTCAAAAGAAGCCAAATATCTTTGTAGTCAATATATTTAAAAAGAAAAAAAGGCAAAACATGAGTATCGTTTTCATAAAAATCATTTATCAAATATTAAAACTCTAAAACGCTATTATTATTTTGATCATTGAATTAAACTTTAGTTAATTGAAAATAAAATTAATTAACTTAATATTAAAACTCTAAAACGCTATTATTATTTTGATCATTGAATTAAACTTTAGTTAATTGAAAATAAAATTAATTAACTTAATTAATTTAGAAAAATCAATCAATTATAATTCTCAAAGAAAAACAATAATCATATAATTACCAGAGCTTTTAATTTTACTTCACTAACAAATTTTATTTTTATTTATTTGATTATCAAATTTTAATTGTATCAAGCAAGATTATTTGATAGTGTTTCGGGAGTCATATTAAAAATATTATCTGGTTCCTAATAGTTATAACCAATAATAATTAATTCGCTTTGTTCTTTGGTTATTTTAAAAAATCTCTTATCAGTCAATTCTTTACTCTCATTCCAACTATTATTCTCATAAATTTTATTTTCTTTTTCATATCACCGACATTTCCTTTGGATGTGTACATTAAAGTAAATCATTTAATATAATTGAAAACATTAAGAAAAATAATAAAATATTTCACGGATAAGGAAAATTAATCAAATAAGTATAAATTGCAATTAAGTGAAGCTACACAAAAATCCTAATAAAAGAAAATTAGTTCAACACAATTAAGAATTCAAACGTGAACTTAATTGTAATATTTAATTCAACATGATAATAAGTTTCAACAATTTTTTTTCTTATCTCATAGATTTACCAAAATAATTAATTATATAAATATTGTTAAAGGTTAAAATTTTTAAAAATAAATTAAGCAATAAATATAAATTATTTATTAAAATCAAAATTAACCAAGTTTCAATATCAATATAAATTTTATTTTTAAAATATCCAATAAAATTAGGAATAAAAAAATCTAACAATTAGGAATGTATAATCAACTTTTTAGAATGATAAACCTATATTTTTATTAAAAAGTTTCTACAGGTAGTGCAGTTAGTTGAGAATGGAGTTGAAGATATTTCTTATTTTGGTTTTGATTATTTCAGGTTGGGTTTCTTTGTTACAAGAGCTTAGTCAATGCTTTATTTCCTATGTTAAAATATCAGCATATTATGTAGTTCACTGTTTGGCTAGGGCATCTTATTTTTTGTCTGGTTTTCAGAAGTGAGGTCTTGTGCCTCTTAAATTTATTATTGATGTTTTAACAATTAATTTAACTAGACATGTACTGGTGAAATGCGCGAATTATGTAATTTTTTATTTTTGAAATTTATTTTAATGGATAAATTATAAAAAAATTATTGTTATTTATATTATGTTACTTTAATATTATTTAATTAATGTTTATTAACTATAATTATAATATAAATATAATATATATTTATTTATTTATTTTTTTTATGGAAAAACCAATTTATAAAATTTATTAAAAATTTAATATTCATTAAATGTTAAAAATTTTAATTATAGTGAAATTATTTTATTAGATTTATAATTTTCTAACTATTATTTAATAAAAAATTAATTTTTATTAAATGCAAAAAAGATTAATGATAATAAAATACCACATCATTATCTCAATATTTTGATATGTTGTCACATAAGTATTTATTCTTTAGAAATTATATATTTATATAGATATAACAAGTTTACTATGTCCATAAAGAAAATGTCAATTTCAAGAATTCCTCAGGTCAAGATTAAAAATATTAATTTCATTTTCATATTAGTTATAAAGAAATTGAACCTCAATTTAGCATATATCATATGTATGTTTTCCTTAACCTTTTCATATATGCATTGTTTATTTTTTATTTACCTTAAAAATAAGTAAAAATTCAGAACAAGAGATGAAAACTTCACTTACAATTCATTCAACTTGGTACAAGTTGAGCGCATGGTAGGTATAATCACGGTTTTAGAACCGCCGATTTCAATTTCAAAACCGTCGATTCTAGTTTTAAAGAAGGTGAAACTAGAACTGAACTTCTCTTATATGGTTTTAAAACCGCTTGTTCCGTTTTGAAACCGGAGTTAGATTACTTTTTTTCAATTTTTTTTTCAACCTCATTTAGTTTTCTACTATGCATAAATAATAAAAGAATTAATAATGAGTAACTAAGTTAAGAAAGATTAAAAAAGTAAATAAATATATTCAAATTTTATTAAACAAATTATAACAAAACAAAGGTGAAAACTATCTTCTTATTTTATTTGAGAGTTTAAAAGAAATGGTATTTTAAGACCAATAAGTTCTTCATAATTTTTTCAAAATGAAAAATAGTTATCTCCTTATCAAGTGACCTAATAGCCATTAACATCCACATAATATCATTTTAATAACTTACCCATATATATGGATTCATAGACAAAATTTCATTTATGAAATGCTTGATCTTTAGGCTGAGACAAAACTTTATATTCTCAATGTCTTTTATCTCAAACTCTTCCTTTGATGAATCTATAATCTATGGCAGCTTTCAGGAGTTCCAATAATATTCATAAACCAAATAATGACAAATGCATCCAAATCTCTTTATAAATATATAACATCATTATTATAATATTCTTTCAATAAATATTCAATAATCAAGGATTACCTTACTCATGATAGTATATAACGTAAATGTCAAAAGTATGAAGCATATGACTTTCAATAAATAATATAATAATATAATATTTTTTCTCAATCATAAATTTCATTAAGACGATTATACCATATAAGATTTCTTTAATTCATATAGAAATCTTGAATATATTTATAGGTTTCTATTTGCTTCTTTCAAGTATTTTTCAATATTTCATGGATATCATTATACACTAATCCATATAGAGCTCTATGCAATTTGATTAGATAAATTTCTTGAAAATTTAACTTTATGCTTCATATAGAAATCTACATCAAGTTAGGATATAAATAGACAGCCATTAATTTATTAACGCATTTATAATTTTCATACATTGTCAGACAAATCAAATATCAAATTATAATTGCATCCACCACATGAGGGTATTCATCCTCATAATTAATGCCTGGTCTTTGCAAAAAAAAAAAAAAAACTCGTGCAACAAGTCGTGCAACAAGTTTGCTTATATCTACATGACTCATTGATAAAAAAAAAAAAAAAAACTCGTGCAACAAGTTTGCTTTATATCTCATGACCTCATTTTAATTTTGCATAAATACATATTTGTATTCTACTGGCTTGACATCTTTTGATGCCCATATTAAAATTTTAAAATCTTACTTGCCAAGTAAATTAAATGTCACATGCACCGTTCTATTTTGGCCAATCAATTCTATGTCTATATTCTCCAATAGAATATATGCTCAAAATCCTCATCATTTTCACAATTTCAAGTGCTATATGTACCGTCAACGTTTATTTTATATCGGTTCTATACTTGTCCTGACATGATATAATTTATATAGATCTCACAATCTTTATTGATTTCAGGTACCTAAGTTTTTTTGGAAAACTTATTAGTCATATCTAGGAACTTTTTTTACAATTTGCTCTTATAGAACTTGACCATCTTGAATATTTGCTCCTTTCCTTCTCTAAGATTTTTATCCTTGGAATCGATTAGTCTACCACGCTTCAGGAGTGCCTTAGACTCATTAGCATAGGCAATTTGTCCTTCAAGGACTTTAATTCTAATAAGAGCATTTGCAACTAGTATGTGAAATCTAGTTATCTCCTTTTTGGATCAGAAATATATCTGGCAACTAATTTGCAATATTTTGCAAATGAATTATCTTTTAAACATTTAAATTCACACTGTCTTCTATGAGAATCAAGATGTGATAACGATAATTCTTTTCCAATCAATTATTCTTCTAGCTGCTTATTTTCTCCCCCTAATGTCCGGATCCATAACAATTAGCAAATTTGGCACATATAAATTTCTTATTTGAAAGTTCTAAATATTTAATCATAAATCATACACGACATATATTTTTAACCTCTTTTTAAGGACCCATCTTATTGTGTTGTAGTAGAGCAATTAGAACATATACCGTATATTTAAAAATTTTTGAATGGATAATGTTTGATTCTTGATCCGAAAACCAATTATAAATTATTGGCTTGATGCGAGTAAGTGCTATTAAATTTAAATAGCTTGTCCCTCTAAAAAATATGGAGATCGTTCTCATAACAATTATCTTGCAATTAATTGCAATCATTTATAAATGATTTTACTAAATCATTTTGAGCATAAATAAAAGCAACAATTGATTGCCTTATAATTATTTCAATCAACATGCCATGATCATTAAAGGCCTGATGTGCAAATTCACCATCATTCTCAAGATAAATTAGTTTAATAGCACAATCTGAAAATTGTGTGCTTAATCAAATTATTTGTGCAAATAGTCTTGCAAACTTTAGGTTGCAAATTAATAATCATGTAACTATTTTTTGGATGCATCCATAATATATCTGAAACGACCCGAAAATTTAATTTCGAAGAATTTTCATTTAAAAAACTAAATTTTTTATTTCAACCAATGAGATTATACCAGCTAGTATGCTAGTCATTTTATTATTGATAAAACTGGACCCAGTACCCAATCCTACGATTTTTCAAAAACCAAGCGAAAAATCGAAAAACCAACAAATTGACCATAATTCATAGAATTAGACCAAACTGTTCGAATACGAACCGGAATGGATCGAATGGTCTAGAAGCTTTATAATTTTCCTTTCTTTTCTTTTCTTTTTTTTCTTTTTCTTTTCTTCTTCTTCCAGCAGCGTCGACCTCACCCCTCCCCTCTCCCCCTCTCGTTTTTCCGACCGCCTAAGACCAGCGCCTCCTCGCCGTCGACTCCTCGCCGTCGACTCCTTGCCGCAACAACCCGGCCTTCCTTTCCCTTCTCTCCGTTTCCGCTTCTGGTGGGCGCAAGAATCACAACGAGGCTAGGACTTCATCCCGATCGAGATAGCGTCTTCATCCTTCTCTCCGAGCGATTCCAGCGACTATTGCCGACAAGGTAAGCCAATTTTTGACCTTCTTCAGTAGAATTTATGAGTTCTTGCTGAATGATGAAGGATTTGATTTATGAATTAAGTTAGCGTTGGAACTAAATCCCTAGTTACTACTATTCATGCGATTTTACTAAGGAGAATTTAATTCTTCAATCTAATTTAAGTTATAGAACAATCTACTGAATATATTAGCATGAATAAGGTGATTTATAATTCAGAATTCGGTATGGCATGAGAATGACAGCAGTAAGCTTCAATCCAAGGTATTTTATATATATATAATATATTATATATATTATATATATGAAATTTGAGGAAACCTCAGATTTAATTGTTAATCTTAAGCACAAGCTGAAATTGATATGAAATTGGTAAGTACGTTTGGTTATTACAATTTTTCATTGAGGTGTTAGAACAAATTTGATATGGCAGTAGCTAATCTAACCATTTGTTTAAGTTATTGCCTTGATATCAGATATAGGATATTATCAATTAAGCTCTTGTTGAGAAAGGAGTTCATTGGCTGTAATGTACAGGCTATATTCAGAAATCTGATTTCTTTAGCTTGGCAGTGGCTACTTGGTAAAATTTTATGACTTTTGCTAAATGAGTTTATATTAATGCTATATCTATTTATGATTCGTATTTGACATTGTTGTTGCTAAGGATTAAGAGGATGTGATTGACAAAAGAAATGTAAACTAAATTTGGTATGACATAAATTTATTTGAATGTTATTTCTTGCCAGCAATAAACTTGGCTTGCAGCAATAAAGTTGGATATTGGTTAATACGCAAGTTTCTTGACGAATATATAAATGAAGGAATTAGTTTATAGAAATTGAAGGGTTGAGTAAGAACCTGATTTTTTTTTAGGATGGCCCAATATTGAGTGTTCCTATAAATTTTTGTAACGATTTGATGAAAATAAAGTTGTATATTAATTCTATAATAAGGAATGGAGTTAAGTAGTGTATAAATCATAAGCGTAAGCGGAAAACTTGAAGAGTTCTCATGGTGGCAGCAGCTGTGTGGCAAATTTGTTACTATTTGAGTTTAAGTAGGCCAAGATTAGATAGTTTGTCTCAATTAATAGTTAGTTAACTTTTCTGTAATAAATAGCAGAACTCTAGAATCGTCTAAATGGTTACCGAATTATTCAGCTCTCTAAATTGTAATATGATTAGAGACTGTTTAAGATTGTAAGTTGATGTTTAATTTGATGGGAACAAAGATATGATATCTAGCTAAAGATTTTTAATAATATATTAGCTTAAACTTTTCTAAAGGTATTAAGATTTGGCAAATAATGAGGTTTAAGTTTTTTGAAAAGTGAAAACTTGTTGAGCAAAGAGTAACAAATTGATAATCGTTAATTATTTGGTATTGTTATTGGTATTGCTATGTAAAGGAGGATGGGCATTTGATTTGATTGATTGCCCGATGGATGGGCTTGTGGATTGAATGAATATAGGGAGAGTATTGATATTATCTTAACAGGTAGATAATCATATTTTTAGGGGAGGTTCTGCCGAAATTTCGCTAAAACTTAGTCTAGTTTTAATTAATAACATAATAAGTTTATTTAAAATAATTCTATAACTTAACACATAATAAATAGCGTGCTCTAATTATTTTACTATCATCATTATTTATTTAATTATTTTCATTATTATTCATCAAATTATTCAATTATTTATTTATTTCCATTATTATAATTTATTTAATTGTTTGTTTATTCTTAATATTATTTATTTATTTATTTAATTGCACTTGATAAGTTGTGCATTGCATTACGTTTGTCCAACTGATCAATATGTTCTGCACTTAGTTGCAATGTTTGATTAATTGTTTGTTGTGTTTATGCTATGCTTGGTTTGTATGTGGAGTTGGGATGAAGTGGGTTCACCATGGGTTTGTGAGACTATTTCGTTATTACGGATCCTGATTCTGATTTCTTTATATAGATCCTGATTTCTGTTCTTGTTAGCCGGGTAAATGGGAGATCGGCGCCCCCGTGCTGCACCTACCATTACCGTTACTGTTAACCACAGGTTGGCTTCTTTATTGGGCGCCACCGGATAATCTAGATTGATCGCAGTCCGCAGGTTGGCCTCCTGTTGTGAGCGCCTGAGGATCTAGATGATGGAGACGACCCGGGTTGCCTCCTGTTGGTATTGGGAAAAAGAAAAGAGAGGATAGAAAAAACAATGAGAGGGCTGGTCAAGTGAGGATTAGACCGGTCGGGCCAGTAGGGGATCGGGCTCCCTGGTGCACATGTGAGAGGATGAGCCATTGCGAGGGATGACTCATCGGGTTCGGGTGACTCCCACTGACTAATTTCCACATGATGTGATACATTTGAAGATGTTTATGATTGTGATGCTGGTGATGTGCCATTTGTGTGACTGGACTGCGTTGAGCACTATAAACTAGCGGATGCTAGGATTGATATGCTTACACATTTGTTGACTTGTGAATGCATGTGTTGTGCAATAATTATTACCCCTTAGAAAACTCACATGTCTTGTTTGATTTTTCAGGAAGTAAGTTTTTCTTTAATCTGATGTAGGCTATGTTTCTACGGCGCAGGGCAATAGAGAAATTTTCCTAGTTCCATAATTATTTTACTACGTAATTATATGTATAAAAAGCTATGTATACCAAAAAATTAGTGACTCCACAGTTGTAGAAGTTACATACATTTAGTCGTGTATTAACATAGACGAAATAATTCTGTGAGCCCATATTAGAATGTATTGTTAATTGGGCTCGAACTGTGGAATGTTGTAGATGATAAATTTGGGCCGAGATTTAATAAAGTCTTGAGGTTTATTTTCCTAGTAATATGGGCTGAATGTTTGAAATGAAATTTATACTTGAGATTAGTAGAATTCTAAGTGTTTCAGGCTATTCTAGTGTTTCAGGCTTACTACGGGCCTCGGGGGCCTTAAGCTTACCTGGGCCCTAGTGCCGGTCCGACCCACGGAAACGGATCGTGACAATATCCAAATAAATTGATCAATAATTTCTCTTTGTATATTTCAAAAAATGTAAATAGTTCAATTTGAACTCTTGGTGATTGCTCAACATTTAATTTGTTTTGAGAATAAACTAAGCATGAATAATTCAATAAATTTGAAGAAACTTTTGGTTCTTCAATAAATATTCATATAAGGATCAAATTTTTCTTTTTTGCATGATTGATCGGGATGGTCCAACCGATCATACCAAATAATATAAGTACATAGATTTGTAACTTTCAGTTTACAATCATATTTATTTCAATCATCATCTCTATATGATATCTATTTTGATGAATATCTTTGGAATAATGCATTTTGCATAAAAATCCATTCTTTTAGGTAGTAATACTTGCTGCTCTAAAACTTTTAAATATTTTTTACTACCAAAGCCAAATTTGTCTTTCAATATTTTGGTGTACAAACAAGTACATAACCAATATTCATATAAGCCACTTTATTTGTACCACTTTTGGTAGTAAAATTTATTTTTAATTATGTGGCCACCATAATTATTAAGATTATTACTTCAATTGTGATCTTATTGATATTCTAAATGATAAGTATATATTTTTCATTGCTCATGTCCACACCCAATATCATATATTTACTTTAGATAATACATCAAATCTAGTTGGGTGGATTTCACTATTCCCATGCCCAGTATTATGTGTCATTCCATTCATTTCAGGGGATAGAGAAAATCTAATTAGACAAGGTTCATGATATTAATTTAGGAGCTCAGTACTTTGCTTAATAATAAAATGATATGAATTAAATCTAAAGTTTATCACAAAACTTTTTATTTCGACATTACTACTTCAAGAGCATATTCGAGGTATAAATATCATTAATAATTCTAGATCAAGAGCTGAAATAGCTCCAAATATAATAACGATAATATCTTAATTATATTTAAAATAAATCAATTCTCAAAATTTGTAATATATGGATAATATATGCAAATATAAAACAATAACTTTATAATGCTGCAGAATTGCAATCACTTACAGTTTTATGGGCATTTGCAATGTTAAATGCCTCCATTCATGATACCTTTGATATTATACTTTTTTTTTCAAAGCATTCCAAAGAACAAATAAATATTTAATTATCAAAATATTGACTAAAAGAAAATTATTTCCTTTGCAGTATTTTGATTAGATATTGATTTCTATCCTTCATTGTATCTTCAAGACCCATAATGTCACGACCCGATTCCATGGGCTGGACCTGCACTAGAGTCCAGGTAAGCTTAAGGCCCCCGAGGCCCATAGTAAGCCTGAAACACTAAAAATTTACTATCTCAATATAATTTTTAACATTCAGCCCATACTGATAGGAAAATAAACCTCAAGATTCTATTAAATCTCAGCCCAAATTTAAAACATCTTAAACATTTACAAATTACCCTGCTTACAATACACTATATTTATAATATAGGCTCACAGAATGATTTCATCTATAATAATATACGACTAAAAAATATACAAATCCTATAACTGCGGAGTTCACTAACAAATGAATACAGATAAGTCTTCGGACATTTATCTATTTAATAGATCAATACTAAAATTAGTAAAATTTAGAGAAACTCTTTTCTAACATTTGAAAAGAGCAGAGTATAGCTGGGACTTAGAAAAAGCTACTTCCTAAAAGATTTAAACAAAAGAGATGTGAGTTTATTAATGAATTAACTAATTATTGCCACAACACAACGCATTCATCCACCAAAATGTATAAATATATCAATCTAGTCATCCGACTAGTTATATGCTCACACAACCAGTCACACAAATGGCATATCACCCAGCACTTCACAATTATAACATCTTCATATAATCACATTCACGTGGAAATTGGTCAGTGGCGTCACCGAAACCCCCGAAAATGAGCCGTTCCTCCCACATGGCCTTCATCCACTCACGGTGCACCAGGGAGCCCCCCCATACTAGCCGACCGGTCTAATCCTCACTTGACCAGCCCTCTCATTTTTTTTCCATTCTCTCTTTTTTTTATACATATATATACCAACAGGAGGCAACTCGTTGGTCTCCATCCAATTTAGATCATAATTTAGATCATCAGGCGCTCACAACAGGAGGCCACCCTGCGGGCTGCGATCAAATCTAGACTGTCCGGTGTGCAACGACGAGAAGCCAACCTATGGTTAACGGTAACGGTAACGGTAGGTGCACACGGGGGCGCCGATCTCCCATTTACAAGGTTAACGGTAATGGATCCATATAACGGTAACGGTATATAACGGTAACGGTAATCAGGATCCATAGAACGGTAACGGTCTCACAAACCCATGATGACCCACTTCATCCCAATTCCACACAAACAAAGCATAGCATTAGCACAACACAATTAATCAAACATTGCAATTAAATGCAATGCACAATTAGACATCCATTCTCAAATGCAAATAACTAAACAAATAAAAAAATTAACAATAAACAACAACGATAGAATAAATAATAATAATAATAAACAATAATAATGAAAATAAATAAGTAATTGAATAATTAAATAAATAATGATGATAAATAAAAATAATTAGAGCACTTATCATTATATATTAAGTTATTTAATTAATCTAAATAAACTTATTAATTATATTGCTTAATTAAAGCTAGTCTACATTTCTATCGAAATTTCAGGCAGCACCTCCCCTAAAAAGCACCTCCCCTAAAATTGGACTATCTACCTGCTCAAATATCACGATATTATTATATTTATCAACCAATGCACACAGCCCATCCGTCGGGCAATCAACAATTTAAGTCCCATCCTCCGTTCAGTATAAGCATGTCAATGTTCACCAAATAAATTTACAAATTATAATAACCTCCAGCATGTTCCAATGATATCATTAATTGTCCTCTAACTAATTATCAAATAAATGTACACTTTATGAATAAAACTTGCATCGATAAGTTAAATTCAACTATTCTCATTTGTAGTTACTTAGCCTCTATTCATTATAAACTCCTCTAAACTCCTCGTCGAGCCTTTACTTCATCACCCTTGCTTAAGGTATAAACCACATATATTTATACATTTGTTAAAATTCTAAACTAGCCACTAAGAATCGATGTTAACCTAAATAAAAATTCAATATATATATATTTCTACGTTAATATATCTAAAAGGGCACCCGTTACCTGAAATAGCTGCTGCCCACCAAGAGAAATAGCTTCTACTTGACTTAAACTTATATACAGTAAACAAACTA